ATGAGCCTCCAGGCCAGCCAAAGGTGAGTCAGCCATGGTTGCAGGGTAGAGACTGGCCAGTGAGACTCTTTCCCAATAAGCCTTTCCCATTCTCTGCTTCTTGTACACCAAGCCCAAGAACCCTGACAGAAGCCCAGAGAGGCTGTAAAGCTGACTATCGGGTGCTTGTTTGGGGTGAATAGGTTTTAATAGGCAGAACTGTTGGTTTTATTTTTATTTTTTTAGTTAATTTAAATGTTACTTATGAACTGTTCCGTCCTTGAAGTCACCATACAAACGTTATAAAATGCGTTTTATATAACCGAGTGATAGCAGTGTTTGTCGTATGAAATTTTACTGGACTCTGTGGTACTCAAATGCTGGACAGTTTGCACATGAAGTCTCATTCTGTGAGTACCCACATACCCACATAGTACCTCGTACAGGGCTCCACAAATGAAGTATTCTGATGTGATATTTTTTTTTAAGGAAAAAATTATCAGGTTGGGGATTTAGCTCAGTGGTAGAGCACTTGCCTAGCAAGTGCAAGGCCCTGGGTTTGATCCTCAACTCCAAAAAAAAAAAAAAAAAAAAAAAAAAAACAAGAAAAGAAAAAAATTATCTGTTCTCTTGTGATCAAGGTTGGGTGGAGTGGGGCGCACAAAGGTTAGTCGTGGAAGGGCCAGCATGCACTGTAGCACTCTGGAATCTAGCCAGGGGATGGAGTAAAATCAAGTCCTTCGTGGTTGAAAATATAGCTGTATTTTTCTTCTGGTGAGTTCTTTGAAATATTTTCATGCCTGGCACCCACAGTGCTCTCCTTTCCAAGATAGACGGAATAGCTTTGCCTTGTCCTGGTAGCCAGGTGACAGCCAGATAGCCAAACAGGTCTAGTTGGTGTAAAGCAAGCTACCTCCACAGGTAGTACTGTTCCTTCCTAGTTCCCACGTCAGTGCCTGTGGCCTGTGACGTCTGTCACTCTGTTCTTTCCTTGTCCCTGGTTCTTCCAGCTTTCCCAAAGTTGAGTCACACGAGGCATGACAACTGTCATCGCTTTGTCCTCTCCACTAAATCTCTACCTAACTGTCGAGCCCATTCCCGGAGTCCCGAACTGCAGGCCTGGCACCCGGGTCGTGAGTGGGGGCCTCTGTCTTCCCTGCAGCTTCGCCTTGCGGCCTGGCATATCCGGTTCCTTCTTTATCACCGTCTCCGGGCTTGCTATTTCTCTTCCTATCTAATTAAATGGTTCCACTTTGAATAATTACATTTAAGTGCTAACAGCAGAAGAGGGGCATTGAAAACACAGGGTTCAACAGCCTTCCCAAGGAGATTCGCAGTCAGAAAAGACAGGATGAGACACAGGGAAGAGCAGCCCCAGGGAGCCTTACCTCGGTGCAGCTCCTAGCAGGTGAAGCCACAGGCCGTGTCCTGTGACTAAGAGACAAGCCTCTCTTGATTTCGTTGTGTCTGCCCTTGCTGTCTGGAAAACAAACTGGGAATTTTTTTTTTCTTGTGTATTAATACAGAAGGGGAGGGACGTGTGAGGGTGTCAATAGTGGCTCAGACAGGAAGGTTGATTTTGATGTTCTTTTTAATAAAAAGATTCTGAACTGCTTGTAGCTACTGGGTGAAGTGAGGGCAGTAAAGGGCCGTGTGGATAACCTTTTACACAGTCACCGCCATCTATGGTGAACCAAATCCTAGGAGCTGAGAGTGCCCGGTACCCTTTCAGGATAAACACTCTTCCTGGGGTGGGGTAGTCCTCTGCTAACAGTGAGGAGCAAAGGACCACACAGGCAGGACCTGGAGTCCCCTGAACCACAGTCCCCTCCCTGCTGACTGCCAGGGGCCCCTGTTCGTTCCTCCTCATACTTGAGTTAAAGCTTGAGATTGGGCTCAAGGGAGAAAATGTCTCAAGGGATCTGAGAATCCAGAGCAGTGTCAGGCCTGGCTTCTCCTGCCTCGGGAGATCTGAGGACCGAAATGAAACTGGGCAAAACAGCAACTTCTCCTTCACTCCAAAAGCAAGGAGGGAGAAGCAGGCAGGCGCAGGCCAGGCCGAGCGAGGCGCTTGCAGCAATCAGTGCCTGGGTGCGCGGCCTTGGCTTCGCTATTTTATAAGTGTTGATGTCAGTCCTGGGGAAGGTTGGGGTTCTCCTCTCTGTTTTTAAATCAAGCTTCTGAGCAACAGTCCATTTGTATGAATGGAGATGTCAAAACTACAAATGGCGTCTGTCTCTAAAGTTTCTAAACAAACTTCTGATACTTAAAGCCGGGAACATGGTCCCCAATCTTTTCATGCATATTGCTTGTGGTCGGCCCCATCTATTAGAACGTTTCGGGATGTTCTGAAATGGATGCCCCAAGGAGAAGGTTCGTGCAGCTTCCCTTTGCCTGGTGCCTGTTGGGGAGCTGTGCTGCTGTGTAGCTGTGTGTTTGTGTGTGAGTTTCCAAGGCACACGTTTGCTTCAGGTGGATGGCTGTGCATGAGACGGTTTGATTTGGTTCAGCCGGCCTGGGAGGGGAGTACCAGTCATTAGTTTGTAGTTTGTGAAAGCCTACAACTAGAAATAAGGGCCAACCAGAACCTCATCACATGGACCCTTAGTGCTTTAATGTTATAACTTTAGGCAAAGCTAATAAAAAATGCAAAGGACTACTAAATAATTTAAATTATCTAAAAAATTGAGCATATTCCTTCAAATAATAATGGCTTTCATGATCTGATTTTTTTAAAATTCATTTCTCATGTCTTGAGTTACTTAAAAGTATAATCTCAAAGTCCATCCAAGTTTATTTAAGATTATTAAATATGTTTGTTATGATCATGCAGAGTCCCCATGGATTCCATTCTTGTAGTCTTACAGTTCTGATCCGTAGTATTGTTACACAAGACGTAATTCTGGGGGCATGACTGATAATATCATTGTAGGACGGAGTTAATTTTTAAATTTCTCCTTAAAAATCTCACTTTGCAATCAGATTCCTTCATTACCTGAAGTCATTAGCCAGTCCAATCAACTGAAAAACAAAGAAAGAAAGGTCCTGTTCTTACCTCTTATTTTTTGATTTCTAAAAACAACATCCTCTAATTGCAGCTTTGCTGACTTCGGCTGGGAAGCTGTCCCTATCGTCATGTATTTCCTTGACTATCTTACTGATCCTTTGGAAAGTAAAACCGTGGGACGATGGCATGAACTATATAGTGAGAGACTAGAGGTCAGACTGCCTGGAGAACTTTTCTTCCTCTTCTGGAATGATCACAGAAGAAGGTTTGTGTTCTAAGCACACATCTTTTGCTTCCCCTGGTGCTGTAATTTATAGCAATAAATACTCTGTATTTATTATTACTTAATTCTATTGGGAATATGCTGAAGCTGGAAATGTATTCATCACCTTAATATTAAGACACTTCCTAAATTTTAAATATTGATATAATTGCCCCAACTGTGCCTCTGTTTCTAGACCCATTCCACACTATGAAATTATCTCCATGTTATGTATTTTATAGAGATACTTTTGCTCATAGGATCCCCCCCACTCTGGTGTTCCATATTACTTTTGCATAACTGAGAAATCCGTCACTTCTTTTAGCTCCGTTTGCAAACACAGAAACCGTATCAGAACAGCGCATTCAGCGTCAGTATAGAAATGCACAAAGGAAAAAAGAAAAAGAAGTGAGTGGACAGGAGGTGTGGAGAGATTGAAATGTCAGATTCTTCAAGTGCCCAATCTTAGTCCAGTCATCTGCCTCGAGGCTCCTTGAGAGAAGCCTGTCTACCCAGATGAGGCTTTTCTCACTGAAAACGTGTTGAGAAGTGTTTCGTCTCAGGCAAATACTGCAGGAGTTTTCTTGCTTGTTTTGTTTTTGTATTTTTAAGAAAAGGATGAAGCAAGAAATGCCCCCAATACACAGCTCTAATTTATTCTTCGTCAAAACCAGGTCGCCATTTATACACTAGGTATTAAAAGCTACTTGAGTCATTAGAAGTGGTCTTTCAAATGCTCTGTATTATTCAATACAAGATTTATTTTCAAGCTATTTCAAGGCCACGGGGGGAGTTGTTTCCCTTACGAAGGAAATGCTGTATTTTGCTGCATTATTTGTAGTTTGTAAATATATGTATAAAACAGAAAGGGGGAGAATGGGAGCTGCTGGTTTTTCAAATCCTAATACAGTACGTCTTCCTAATGAACCTGCCGCAGTGCCCAGAAAACAGCTCCCTGCAAATAAACATGCTCCAAGTGATTTAGCCACAATGTCCAGACTGTGTAAACATCTAATTATTACAATAAAATTGTCAATAAATTTACATTACTGCTCCCTTTTCAAACGTTAACCAACTTTTTCTTTGCTTGATAAAAGGGCATAAATTGTATTTTTATGTGTTGGTGTTTTTGTTTCCATTACACTTCTCGAAGCACTCTAGACAGAAGACCCGGAGCCTTAATGCTCTGAGTGATTCCTAGATGTGGAAAACTCGTACAGTTGTTTATTACCGTATTGCTCCGCATTTCCTTTCACAGTGAGATCTGATCTTTAGTCACGGCGTTTTTTGCAGAAAGCCATAAAGCTGGTATTGTAGTCGCTGTAGCTTTAAGAGAGACACAAAGAATTAAGGCCCCTATAATCCACTATTAGAATGGAAATTTAAGTTACATTAGAAGCAAAAGATAAAATGGCAAAATGCAATAATTTCCTTTAACAAAGATTATGTCCAGTTTTTGGAATTATGATATCATGTTGGGCATAATGGTGGAATCCCCCCCCACACGTATTTCTTATATAACTGGTACATTAACATTAGAAAAGCGGAGTGATATTGAATTCTAATGAGGTCTGGCCTATATGCTCTGCTAGGAGAAGAATGAGGGTAGTTCATTTGTATTCAACAAAGCGCTCGGAAATCCACGCGCATCCCTGTGGCTCAGCGCGCGGTGCTGCTCATCTGCTCCTCCTTGGAGGGGGGGAGTGTGGCTCTGCACAGCATCTGAGCTGGGGAAACAGGTAACTATTTTTCTGCTAGCCCCCACTTCCTAATGGCAATTTAATATGGTTGGTTGCTCTAGGTATGCCTTGGCTTCACCTGTTCAAGTATCTTAGAAATTAGACCCTATGGCAGTGACAGTACACCTCTGTGAGAGCCAAACAAAGAACACGGAGTGAAATTCAGGAGGAGACATATGATTTCTCCATCCTCGGTAAACATGCCGGCTTTAAGTAAACAATGAAATGACAGTGAGGTATTTGTTCATTTAAAAAAAAAATCTGAAAAATGTGCCATTTGATCTGATATTGGCATTACAGGAAAAACGACATTCATTTGTGAGTCTTGCTGACATTCCGAAAAGAACAGCCCATTTTGGAAAGTTATATTTAGCAAAACCAAGGAATGAAAGATTTTAGCAAATTGCCACGTAAAATGATCTGCACAAAAAGGCACCGGGGAAGTGAGCTAAGGCCTGTGCCAAACAGATGGCACCCCCTGCTGTGTTTTTGATTGAAAAAGAAAGGTAACATTTGCAGCCACGTCAAAGAGACAGTGATCAGCTAAACAAATTGGTCTCCGAAGTACCCCATTGCTGGAGCAAGCCCGCTGCAGGGTACAGCCGAGGCTGTATTTCAAAATAATGCCACGTCTGCGTCTTTCCTAAGCGAGGGGATGTGTCCCCTTTCTGTGCAGCAAAAGGAAGATGAGGTCTTTGTTGGAGCCGGCTGCTGTGGTAGCTGCAGAATAAGCAATAGAACTCC